CGGGCGTGGGCTGGGAGGGAGCGCGCGGCCCGGGCCACGCACGCGACGGAGGGGGCGGGCGCGAGGCTGGGGCCGCTTTCCGTCGCTGCTTTCCAGGTTGCGGTGCTCCCGGCCCGCCCCCCAGCGGCCCTGGGCTTTTATCTTTCGGCAAGTGGAGAAGGCGAGGGGTGGGGTAACTACGTCCAACTTTTAGTTCCTCCCCAGGGTTCCAGCCAAATGCCACCGGCGAGGACCCAAGAAGTGAAATGGGGTCAGGACAAGGGAGTGGTCAGAAAGCCCTGGCCGGCAGTGGGCCGGCTGCCTAGCGCAGGGCGCCGGGAGGGGCGAAGAATCCGGGTCTGGACGGAGGCCAGGAACCGCGCGTTCAGGCAGTTGGCGACCTTAGCAGGTACAAAGGCGAAGTCTCGGTCCTGGGCAAGGACTAGGGACTGTTCAACGAGAGGAAAGAACGTGAACAAAACTTTTCTGCATCTTCAAGGAAAACACACCCCTCTCAGGGGCACCAGCCTCTAGTTTTCCAGATGGGTGCTGCAGCGGTTCATGAAATTCCCCGCATAAAAGGTCGTGGCTGCAGGCTCAGAGCACGGGATCTGCACCCCACTTAGCAAATAGGGTCACGTGAATGGAAGGAGCTGATTTCTGAAGACGTGAAACAATCCTTTGAGCAAGGCTGCAATTCGATGCTTTCATCGGAGAAGTTGTATGAGTAAAACGCTGATAAATTCTTAGGTCATTGACTTAGAGTATCCCTAGGACCTGTGGCAGAGCTAGAGAACAGCTGCCCGCTGGGGGTTTTAGGGGTCTTGTTCGCACTGTATTTTACAATAGACGTGAGGAATAACACTCCTGTTTATGTTAAGTCATCTTATGTAAATCTTATTTCCAAATACATACTGATGATGATAGTAGTTAACTTTCACTTCTTACCATTGCCAGTCGTTACAGTCTACATACGTGATCTCCTTTAATCACCACTGTAACTATCAGGTGGTGGGTGCTATTCTATTTTTTGCAGGTCAGTAACATGAAGCTTAAAAGATTGACTATCTCACCCAGATGTTGTTACCTAGATGTCACAGAAGTACACAGAAGCTGTTGTACTAACCCGGGCTGGGCATTTGGGTGGAGGAAGTTCCAGCAGAACACCCAAGCTAGTACCAGTCTGAGCACCGAGGCCTAGAATAGTTTATAAAGATTTGTGGAATGTGACAAAAACAAGTCCAGGAACAACCTCAAGTTTAAAACTCAGGCCTCGGGACTCAATTTCACGGAAATTCCACTATAAAGGCATTAATCCAAAGCTTCAAATGATATGGACATTTTATACCATAATAGAATTCAGTATTTCTGCCAGCATGGGCGCGTGCACTGCAAAGGCCACGGGATTGAAAACTCCACTGACATAATGAAAGCTGAACAGCATTTGATTACCGAGTGTTCTATCAGCAAGTTAAAAGGATCTTGTGCATGCCTTTTAATGGCCTATAGCCTAAAACTGAAGTGCTCAATATAGACAAACATCCAGATTGAACCTTGGGGCACTGAATCACATATACAACAAATCAATTGAACCTGGCAGAGCTTGCCAGACTTGTGAATGATTAAGTACATTTTACACTTCAGAGAGGTTGGCATTCACAGGTCTAAATTGGAAAATTCTTAAGTTGAAGAAGAACCGTAACATTAGGTTGAGTCAGTGAGGAAACATTATTCAGAGCTAGAGGAGGTAAAATCTTGAAAATGGTTGACAAGCTGATGAGAGAACTTTGTGGGAAAGTGTTCCCCATTCAGAGATCAACTGGTATAAATTTAAGTATAGGGGGTTAGGACTGGGGAAAGCAGGCAGATGGAAGGACAGGATATAGGCTGTGAGGAAGCCAGTCACTCCACCTGGTGTGCCTCTTACCATACCAAGTGTGGGCCATAGACCAGCAGCATTGAGGTTGTTAGAAGTACAGATTCTCAGTTCCTACCCCAGACCTAATAAAATGAGACTCTGCAGAAAGTGGGAGCACTGCTCCAACTAGTTCCTGTGATTTGTCTCCCCTGCATCCATTCTCCTTCCAGTAGCAGGGCCTAGGTTCTGCTTTGGGCAATGTTCTGGGTGGCTCCCAAAGAAGGCCCATGGGCTGGCCAATAAGAGCACTCCATGAGAGCACCCAGCCACAGCAATTGGTCCTGCAAAGAAGATGTAATACAAGCTGAGCCAATGAGAGTCAGCTCTAGGACTTTAGGGGAAAGAATGCCCCCTTTCTTGAGTTTGCTGAGCTGATAGGATGTATGTTTAGAACTGCTATTTTCCCACTGCCTAAGAATGACACCAACACAGGAAAATGGAGCTGAGGAATGGAAGAGAGATCCTCTTGCTGCCCCATCTAAATCCTAAACTTTTTAGTAACTCAAGCCAGCGAAGTTACTGTTTTTTGGGTTTTTGGCCAGTTCAAATTAGGTACCTGCTACTCACAGCTGTTTGTCCCCTTATCCCTGTAACTCAGCAGGCTCATTCTGAATTCTTGATGTTTCCTTTTCTCTCGTCTCTGCCCTCTAAACTGATCTTTCCCTTGGGTCCTGTGGATCACACCTGTGGTCCCAGTGCTTTGTTAGGCCAAGGTGGGAGGACTGCTTGATGCAAGATGTTGAAGACCAGACTGAGCAACAGGAAGACCGTATCTCTAAAAAATAAAAAAATGGAAGTCTTTCAAGGTTTGTCTCCTCCCTGAGGCCTTTCCAGACTCCTTTCCCCACATACTGCTCTCACTAACCCCAGCGATGGACTCCTGTGTCCAGGTAGCTAATATTCCCATGCTTTCCCTTCTGTAGTTACCAGTTTTTATGTCTGTCTCTCTCCTCTCCCCCTCCCTTTGCTTAATTAACACCCACTCAGCCTTCAGATGTCGCCTGAGACAAGGCAGGATACCTTGTTACGGGGTTTTATAGCACCATCCATCTTCCCTTCCTGGCACTCATCTCTGTAATATGTTTACCTAACAGCACAGAATGGAGGCAGTAAAGTGGGGCCTCAAAGGGAGACCCTGGTGTCAGACAGGCGGGACTAGCTGTATGGCCTTGGGCAAGTATCTTCACCTCTCTCTGCCTCAATTTCCTTAACTATAAAATGAAGATAATAAGAGTACTCCCCAGAGTAGGATTTTGTTAATTTATGTAAAGTACTAAGACCACATCTGGCACATACTAACCACTATTTAAGTGATAGCTATTATTACTGCATGTGGGATTATTTGATATCTGTTTCTCCTCTCACAAAAAAAAAAGGGTCTGTTTTTACTCATCATTTTAAAGTACAGTGCCTTGTCCATAGGAAGAGTCAATACACTGAATATTGCTTCCCTCTCAGTGGTGTGGGAGCTCTTAGAGGGAAGGGGTTTTCTTTTGTCCAGACAGAGTCTCAGTCTGTCACCCTGCTAGAGTGCAATGGCATCGTCCAAGCTCACAGCGACAGCAAACTCCTGGGTTCAAGTGATCATCCTGCTGCAGACCCCCAGAGTGCTGGGATTATAGGCATGAGCCACCAAGCCCGGCTGAGGGAAGGAGTCCTGTGCATTTCAGAAAGTCTCATCCACTCGCAAACCCTGTGCCTGGCACCTTAATTCCTTTCCTTTCTTCCCTCCCTGTGAAATAGGCTATGGCATCTCACCCGGTGTACAAATGCTAGTGAACGGTGGCTGTCTGGTGAGGGAGAAAGTATTCACTGGGTGCAGACTTGAGTTTGATTACCTAACTAGTTTCTGGGTTATATTTCACTCCTGTGCAGAACTTTATGACCACCCTCTTTTACTTACTCATCATGTATCCAACAAGTATTTATTACAGACATACTCTGTGCCATGTGTGGCACGCAGGACCCTGGGATGAAATTTCTGATACAGCATTCATTAGCATTATGAATATCTTTGCTACATTTGTGTGAACTATTAGAAAAATAAAGATAAGATGACTTTGGAATAAGCATCAAGTTAGAATTGCTACAACCAAAACTATATCTGGATCATGACAGTATTTATAGGTGGTTAAGATTCCCTAAGACTTTAAAACCACTGGTATATTTGGAAATGCCAATTGAAATACCATGGAAGGATTTTTTTTTTTTTAGAGACAGAGACTCATTTTGTCACCCTCAGTAGAGTGCTGTGGCGTCACAGCTCACAGAAAACCTCCAGCTTAGGCAATTAGGCAATTCTCATGCCTCAGCCTCCGGAATAGCTGGGACTAC